GTCTTCCACTTCTTTTAATGCCGTTTTGTGTTTAGGATCAAGATTATAGATCTTAGTTAGGCTCTTAATATCTGCCACATCTCTATTAGCCTTTGTATGAAGCTTATCAACTAGTGCAGCGGCTTGATCTCTCGGTATACCTGTTTCTTTCATTATCTTTTCAATGAGCCTCTCCTTCGCGGCGTCGACGTCACCTCCTTCGAGGACTACTTTTGTTAATTCATCTTCAATACGTTTTAATTCTGTTTCATATTTAGGGTCCAGGTTAAAAGTCTTTGTTAAGGCCATAGAATTATCTTTGTTGTCTGCGTTGACCTTGGCATGTAGCCTGTTGACTAGTTCAGCGGCTTGCTCTCTAGGTAGACCTGTTTCGTCCATTATCTTTTTAATAAGCCTCTCCTTCGCGGCGTCTACATCACCTCCCTCGAGGATGATCTTTGCTAATTCATCTTCCACGTCTTTTAATTCTTTTTTATACTTAGGATCTAGGTTAAAGGCCTGAACAAGGCCATTAAGCCTTTCTTTGTTATCTTCATTAGCCTTTGCATGTAGCTTATCAACCAATGCAGCGGCTTGATCTCTCGGTAGACCTGTTTCGTCCATTATCTTTTTAATGAGTCTCTCTTTCGCGGCGTCTACGTCACCTCCCTCGAGGATGACTTTTGTCAATTCGTCTTCCACTTCTTTTAATGCCGTTTTGTGTTTAGGATCAAGATTATAGATCTTAGTTAGGCTCTTAATATCTGCCACATCTCTATTAGCCTTTGTATGAAGCTTATCAACTAGTGCAGCGGCTTGATCTCTCGGTAGACCTGTTTCTTTCATTATCTTTTCAATGAGCCTCTCCTTCGCGGCGTCGACGTCACCTCCTTCGAGGACTACTTTTGTTAATTCATCTTCAATACGTTTTAATTCTGTTTCATATTTAGGGTCCAGGTTAAAAGTCTTTGTTAAGGCCATAGAATTATCTTTGTTGTCTGCGTTGACCTTGGCATGTAGCCTGTTGACTAGTTCAGCGGCTTGCTCTCTAGGTAGACCTGTTTCGTCCATTATCTTTTTAATAAGCCTCTCCTTCGCGGCGTCTACATCACCTCCCTCGAGGATGATCTTTGCTAATTCATCTTCCACTTCTTTTAATTCTTTTTTATACTTAGGATCTAGGTTAAAGGCCTGAACAAGGCCATTAAGCCTTTCTTTGTTATCTTCATTAGCCTTTGCATGTAGCTTATCAACCAATGCAGCGGCTTGATCTCTCGGTAGACCTGTTTCGTCCATTATCTTTTTAATGAGTCTCTCTTTCGCGGCGTCTACGTCACCTCCCTCGAGGATGACTTTTGTCAATTCGTCTTCCACTTCTTTTAATGCCGTTTTGTGTTTAGGATCAAGATTATAGATCTTAGTTAGGCTCTTAATATCTGCCACATCTCTATTAGCCTTTGTATGAAGCTTATCAACTAGTGCAGCGGCTTGATCTCTCGGTAGACCTGTTTCTTGCATTATCTTTTCAATGAGCCTCTTCTTCGCGGCGTCGACGTCACCTCCTTCGAGGACTACTTTTGTTAATTCATCTTCAATACGTTTTAATTCTGTTTCATATTTAGGGTCCAGGTTAAAAGTCTTTGTTAAGGCCATAGAATTATCTTTGTTGTCTGCGTTGACCTTGGCATGTAGCCTGTTGACTAGTTCAGCGGCTTGCTCTCTAGGTAGACCTGTTTCGTCCATTATCTTTTTAATAAGCCTCTCCTTCGCGGCGTCTACATCACCTCCCTCGAGGATGATCTTTGCTAATTCATCTTCCACGTCTTTTAATTCTTTTTTATACTTAGGATCTAGGTTAAAGGCCTGAACAAGGCCATTAAGCCTTTCTTTGTTATCTTCATTAGCCTTTGCATGTAGCTTATCAACCAATGCAGCGGCTTGATCTCTCGGTAGACCTGTTTCGTCCATTATCTTTTTAATGAGTCTCTCTTTCGCGGCGTCTACGTCACCTCCCTCGAGGATGACTTTTGTCAATTCGTCTTCCACTTCTTTTAATGCCGTTTTGTGTTTAGGATAAAGATTATAGATCTTAGTTAGGCTCTTAATATCTGCCACATCTCTATTAGCCTTTGTATGAAGCTTATCAACTAGTGCAGCGGCTTGATCTCTCGGTAGACCTGTTTCTTGCATTATCTTTTCAATGAGCCTCTCCTTCGCGGCGTCGACGTCACCTCCTTCGAGGACTACTTTTGTTAATTCATCTTCAATACGTTTTAATTCTGTTTCATATTTAGGGTCCAGGTTAAAAGTCTTTGTTAAGGCCATAGAATTATCTTTGTTGTCTGCGTTGACCTTGGCATGTAGCCTGTTGACTAGTTCAGCGGCTTGCTCTCTAGGTAGACCTGTTTCGTCCATTATCTTTTTAATAAGCCTCTCCTTCGCGGCGTCTACATCACCTCCCTCGAGGATGATCTTTGCTAATTCATCTTCCACTTCTTTTAATTCTTTTTTATACTTAGGATCTAGGTTAAAGGCCTGAACAAGGCCATTAAGCCTTACTTTGTTATCTTCATTAGTCTTTGCATGTAGCTTATCAACCAATGCAGCGGCTTGATCTCTCGGTAGACCTGTTTCGTCCATTATCTTTTTAATGAGTCTCTCTTTCGCGGCGTCTACGTCACCTCCCTCGAGGATGACTTTTGTCAATTCGTCTTCCACTTCTTTTAATGCCGTTTTGTGTTTAGGATCAAGATTATAGATCTTAGTTAGGCTCTTAATATCTGCCACATCTCTATTAGCCTTTGTATGAAGCTTATCAACTAGTGCAGCGGCTTGATCTCTCGGTAGACCTGTTTCTTTCATTATCTTTTCAATGAGCCTCTCCTTCGCGGCGTCGACGTCACCTCCTTCGAGGACTACTTTTGTTAATTCATCTTCAATACGTTTTAATTCTGTTTCATATTTAGGGTCCAGGTTAAAAGTCTTTGTTAAGGCCATAGAATTATCTTTGTTGTCTGCGTTGACCTTGGCATGTAGCCTGTTGACTAGTTCAGCGGCTTGCTCTCTAGGTAGACCTGTTTCGTCCATTATCTTTTTAATAAGCCTCTCCTTCGCGGCGTCTACATCACCTCCCTCGAGGATGACATTCGCTAATTCATCTTCCACGTCTTTTAATTCTTTTTTATACTTAGGATCTAGGTTAAAGGCCTGAACAAGGCCATTAAGCCTTTCTTTGTTATCTTCATTAGCCTTTGCATGTAGCTTATCAACCAATGCAGCGGCTTGATCTCTCGGTAGACCTGTTTCGTCCATTATCTTTTTAATGAGTCTCTCTTTCGCAGCGTCTACGTCACCTCCCTCGAGGATGACTTTTGTCAATTCGTCTTCCGCTTCTTTTAATGCCGTTTTGTGTTTAGGATCAAGATTATAGATCTTAGTTAGGCTCTTAATATCTGCCACATCTCTATTAGCCTTTGTATGAAGCTTATCAACTAGTGCAGCGGCTTGATCTCTCGGTAGACCTGTTTCTTTCATTATCTTTTCAATGAGCCTCTCCTTCGCGGCGTCGACGTCACCTCCTTCGAGGACTACTTTTGTTAATTCATCTTCAATACGTTTTAATTCTGTTTCATATTTAGGGTCCAGGTTAAAAGTCTTTGTTAAGGCCATAGAATTATCTTTGTTGTCTGCGTTGACCTTGGCATGTAGCCTGTTGACTAGTTCAGCGGCTTGCTCTCTAGGTAGACCTGTTTCGTCCATTATCTTTTTAATAAGCCTCTCCTTCGCGGCGTCTACATCACCTCCCTCGAGGATGATCTTTGCTAATTCATCTTCCACTTCTTTTAATTCTTTTTTATACTTAGGATCTAGGTTAAAGGCCTGAACAAGGCCATTAAGCCTTTCTTTGTTATCTTCATTAGCCTTTGCATGTAGCTTATCAACCAATGCAGCGGCTTGATCTCTCGGTAGACCTGTTTCGTCCATTATCTTTTTAATGAGTCTCTCTTTCGCGGCGTCTACGTCACCTCCCTCGAGGATGACTTTTGTCAATTCGTCTTCCACTTCTTTTAATGCCGTTTTGTATTTAGGATCAAGATTATAGATCTTACTTAGGCTCTTAATATCTGCCACATCTCTATTAGCCTTTGTATGAAGCTTATCAACTAGTGCAGCGGCTTGATCTCTCGGTAGACCTGTTTCTTGCATTATCTTTTCAATGAGCCTCTCCTTCGCGGCGTCGACGTCACCTCCTTCGAGGACTACTTTTGTTAATTCATCTTCAATACCTTTTAATTCTGTTTCATATTTAGGGTCCAGGTTAAAAGTCTTTGTTAAGGCCATAGAATTATCTTTGTTGTCTGCGTTGACCTTGGCATGTAGCCTGTTGACTAGTTCAGCGGCTTGCTCTCTAGGTAGACCTGTTTCGTCCATTATCTTTTTAATGAGTCTCTCTTTCGCAGCGTCTACATCACCTCCCTCGAGGATGACCTTTGCTAATTCATCTTCCACGTCTTTTAATTCTTTTTTATACTTAGGATCTAGGTTAAAGGCCTGAACAAGGCCATTAAGCCTTTCTTTGTTATCTTTATTAGCTTTTGCATGTAGCTTATCAACCAATGCAGCGGCTTGATCTCTTGGTAGACCTGTTTCGTCCATTATCTTTTTAATGAGTCTCTCTTTCGCGGCGTCTACGTCACCTCCCTCGAGGATGACTTTTGTCAATTCGTCTTCCGCTTCTTTTAATGCCATTTTGTGTTTAGGATCAAGATTAAAGATCTTAGTTAGGCTCTTAATATCTGCCACATCTCTATTAGCCTTTGTATGAAGCTTATCAACTAGTGCAGCGGCTTGATCTCTCGGTAGACCTGTTTCTTCCATTATCTTTTGAATGAGCTTGTCCTTTGCGGCGTTGACGTCACCTCCCTCGAGGATTACGTTTGTTAATTCATCTTCAATACCTTTTAATTCTTTTTCGTATTTAGGATCTAGGTTAAATATTTTAGTTAGAGTCTCAAACTTACCTTGGTTTGCTATGTTGGCCTTTGCATGCAGCTTATCAACTAGTTCAGCGGCTTGCTCTCTTGATAGACCTGTTTCATCCATTATCTTTTTAATGAGCCTCTCTTTCGCTGCACCTACATCACCTCCCTCAAGAATTATTTTTGTTAATTCGTCTTCCACGTCTTTTAATTCTTTTTTATATTTAGAATCCAGATTAAGAGCTTGAAGAGGGTCATTAAGCCTTTCTTTGTTCTCTGCGTTGACCTTGGCATGTAGCCTGTTGACTAGTTCAGCGGCTTGCTCTCTAGGTAGACCTGTTTCGTCCATTATCTTTTTAATAAGCCTCTCCTTCGCGGCGTCTACATCACCTTCCTCGAGGATGATTTTTGCTAATTCGTCTTCCACGTCTTGTAATTCCTTTTTATACTTTGGGTCTAGGTTAAAGGCTTGGACAAGGCCATTAAGCCTTTCTTTGTTATCTTCATTAGCCTTTGCATGTAGCTTATCAACCAATGCAGCGGCTTGATCTCTCGGTAGACCTGTTTCGTCCATTATCTTTTTAATGAGTCTCTCTTTCGCGGCGTCTACGTCACCTCCCTCGAGGATGACTTTTGTCAATTCATCTTCCACCTCTTTTAATGCCGCTTCGTGTTTGGGATCGAGATTAAAGGTCTTCGTTAGGTTCTTAATATCTTCCACATCTTCACTAGCCTTTGCATGTAGCCTATCAACCAATGCAGCGGCTTGATCTCTCGGTAAACCTGTTTCTTCCATTATCTTTTTAATGAGCCTTTCCTTCGCGGCGTCTACATCACCTCCCTCGAGAATTACTTTTTTTAAATCATCTTCTATACCTTTTAATTCACTTTCATATTTAGGGTCCAGGTTAAAAGTCTTTGTCAACGGTGGAAAATTATCTTTGTTGTCTGCGTTGACCTTTGCGTGTAGCTTATCAACTAATGCAGCGGCTTGATCTCTCGGTAGACCTGTTTCGTCCATTATCTTTTTAATGAGTCTCTCTTTCGCGGCGTTGACGTCACCTCCCTCGAGGATGACTTTTGCTAATTCATCTTCAATACCTTTTAATTCTTTTTCGTATTTAGGATCTAGGTTAAATGTCTTAGTTAGGGTCTCAAACTTACCTTTGACATCTTTATTAGCCTTCGCTAGTAGTTCATCAACTAGTTCAGTGGCTTGCTCCCTTGGAAGACCTGTTTCGGCCATTATTTTTTTAATGAGTCTCTCCTTTTCAGCGTCTACGTCTCCTCCCTCGAGTATTACTTTCAAAAGCTCGTCTTCTGCTTTTTTTAATTCTGTTGCATATTCTGGATTGAGATTATAGGTGTTAGTAAGGTTTTTAAAGTCTTGATTTTCTTTATTAGCTTTTGCTTCAAGTTTATTAACTAGTAGAGTGGCTTGCTCTCTTGATAGACCTGTTTCGTCCATTATCTTTTTAATGAGCCTCTCCTTCGCGGCGTTTATATCACCTCCTTCTAGGATTACCTTTGTTAATTCGTCTTCGATCCCTTTTAATTCTTTTTCATATTCAGGATCTAAGTTAAAGGTATCAATAATAGTCTGAAAGTTGTCTTTGTCACCTTTGGTGGCTTTTTCATGTAACTTGTCAACTAGTTCAGTGGCTTGCTCTCTTGATAGACCTGTATCGTCCATTATCTTTTTGATGAGCCTCTCTTTCGCGGCGTCTACATCACCTCCCTCAAGGATTACTCTTCTTAATTCATCTTCCGCTTTGTTTAATTCTGTTTCATATTCAGGATCGAGGTTAAAGCTTGCAATAAGGCCATTGACGCTTTTTTCGTCCTCTTCGTCTTCGTCACTGTCTTCACGAAGCCACAGCTCAGAGTTCAACATTTCACTGATTTCTCTTTGAATTTTACGTTTAATGTCATCACCAATTGCTGAATGTTCTACAGATTTTTTTATTGATTCTTTGATTTGTCCAGCACTTCTCCTGCCCGTCTGTAATTGTTGTAGTTCACTTTCATATTTTTCTATGTTTTCGTCCACTACTTTAAATAGTTCACCTCTTAAAATATTTTTCTTATTTTTGGAAGTTATTAACGTATCTAGAACTTCAAAAATACCATATTTAAGATTCTCTGAAGAAACGCTATCTGTCGGTTTGTGAAATGTTGTATTAATCAAATCTTTTAGAGTTTTTTTTAATTCAGTTTTTATTTTTGAAGATAATAGTGCTTTATCTGTGACTTCTTCGAATCCATGAATATTGTCTTCTTTAGTTTTTTCTAGAAGTTGTAATTCCTTTTTTTTAAGACTAGGATCAATTAAACATTCTATGTTGTCATTAATGGTCTGTGTTAATTCATTTCTTTCTGTTTCTTGTATTGGCAATTGTTCCATAATATCATTTAGATCATTTATAATATGATTCTTATGGGATTCTGAAAAAGGTATTTTCAAACTATCTGACACTTTTTCTAATTTCTCTAGCAGTTCTGTTCTTTTCCGTCTAGATATGGATGCTTCTTTGATTTTATTTTCAAATTCATGCACTATATTTTCTCTTGCATGTTTCCTGGTATCATGGTCTCTTGTTGAAGATCTGCGTCTTGTTTTAGATTTATCCGGTTCGTCTGTATATAATGTACGTGTACTTGATTTTTTGTCTTTAGCTTGATAATCCTCATCATTATCATTATTATCTTCTACATCTCGGCTGCGTTTGCCTCTTGAACGTTTATGTTCAATAATTTGTACTATACTTTCTCTCGACTTAAACATATCATTTGGTTTTGAAGATGTACTGGGTGTGGGATTTGTTCTGTAATCACCATACTCGTCTGCAAACGCTTTGGTATCTTCTTGTTTATTTACATTTTTTTTAACCACTGGCACTGAATCTCTGCTAAGTTTTTGGAACCTAGCGTTAAATGCATCTATTTCATTTATTGCAATTGATTCTGCATCATAATTTTTATACCGTGATTTATATTCATCTAAGTTTTTTGACTGTGAATTCTGGCTTTTCCATCTTTCCTCAGGATTTTCTATTGATTTGTCTCGCAGTTCTTTTATTTGACTTTTATCACATATAATCTTAATATTTATTTCAACCTTGTGCGTAAGTTCATATTTTTCTGCTTCCTCAATAGGTAATTGTTGTATGATGTCTCCTATATTTTTTATTACATAATCTCGCATGCCTTCAGATAGAGGTCCCTGCAGATTATCAGCAGTTATCTTTTCTAACTTCTCCATCAATTTAATTTTCTTCGATATAGCCATGGGTGTTTCTTCAATTTTTCGCTCGATGTCTCCTACTACTCTCTCCTTAGCTTTTAATATAATATCTTTTTCGAAAGAAGTCGGAGCTCTAGGATCTCTGAGACCCTGTTTAGCAGTATATAGTATAGACTTTGCTCTTTCACTTTCTTTACCTACATTCCAGTCTAAATGTAAAATGTCAGCAAATTCTTTTAAAAATCTATTCTTCTCTTCCTCCGATATCGGTAGAACGTCTAAGATATCATAAACTATATTCCTCTGTTGCCCAGTTAACAATTGTTCAAATCCAAGAAAGGAAACATCGTTCAGTTTTTTCTTCAGAAAGTTGGATTTTGTTGCAGGGACTTGTTTTCCTTCTATCGTTTGTTCAAGTTTACGGAAAAATGTGTCGAGTTGGTGCTGTTTTAAGTCTTTCTCTTCCTTGCATGTCCCTTGACAGCTGAAAGTCTCTGAACGATTGTCAAACGATTTTTTCATATAGTTTTTAAGAATATCTTTATCAGCTTCACTGGTGGGTAAGTTGTTGAGTATGTTACTGATTCCACTTTTGACGTCTTCTTTACGACGTCCAAATGAGTAGTTTTTCAGAAAACCTTCAGCTATCTTTTGCAAATTATTTTTCAATTCGGATTTTTTCCGTCTACTGATTGGTGATTCATCAATTTGGTTCTCAATTATTTTAAACAAACCTTCTATTGATTTTGGTTCATTATCTGTATTCATTAATTTAAATTCGTTGCTTTCTCTCTGATGAGTTATCCAATGTCCAGGGTACCTCATATCTCTTTGATGGTTTAAGTGAGAATCTAGTGAATGAAATAGTTCATACTCTAATTTATTTTTCCTGTTATTAGTTAACGGCATCTCATTTAATACAACATTAATTTCAGCTTTAAGGGCATCCCTTAAATCGTCTGTTAAAGGTATTCTGTAGTTCTTTGTAAACATGATTTTCAGTTTTTCTTTTAAATTATCTTTTTGCCTCTTAGTTATGAGCGAGTTATCTATTGGCGTTGCAAGTGCATTTAATATACTTTGTATCTGTGTTTGCTCTCTGTTTGGTTGCTTTCCATGTAGTCTTACTAAACTTTCATTTCCTACTTCGGCTGATTCATATTTCTTAGTCTTATCTAGAGGGATATCTTCTACCAAGTCAGCTGTGTCATCGTCTGTGTTACCTTCGTCTAATGTCTCAGAATTGAGCTCCATGTGTAGTAATGGCCATTTTTCAAATTTCTCTTCACAACCCTTCAAAACACTTCCCCTTTTTTTAAATTTCTGTGTTTCTTCTGTTGGGTGTGTGTATTTTTCAACAGTACCTTTTCTATAAATTATTGGATTAGCTTCTATCCCTATTGTTTCTCCTCGCATGTCTGCTATCGAATCATCTACTACTTCCAATAATTTCATTTGTAATGGCATTGAATCTTTACTACGATATCTTCTCTCTTTGTTAGTTTTTGTTCCAAAATTATCGTATTCATCAAATGGAGCCAAGTCAGTACTAATTTCTATGGTTCTTGTTTTTGTGTCATTCACTTGTCTCATCGGCACTGAATATATATTACTTTCCCTACTGTCTTCAGTTGTATCTATTTCATCGTCTCGCAAGTCCCCAATATTATCATCGATAGCTTCCATTAATATAACTTTTAGTTTGTCTCTCTTAGCTTTGGCTAGTTCCGCTTCATTGACAATATCATTAATGCCGTCTATAAGTGCACCATGAACATTGTCAGGGGACACTTCTTCAAACGTTTTGTCAACCAATTTTCTAAGTTTCTTCTTTAAATATATCTTCTTCTCTTCAACTATTAGCGTTTTATTCACAATATAGTCAAGCGCGCTAGAAATACTTTCTTGAATTTGTTTGTGTGAATAATCTTCGTAGGTATTAAGATCCTTTAAAATCTCAATATTTTCTTCAAC